TGTGAGGGGGCGATGGTGGCTGAGGGCCGGGCTGGGTTCAGCTGACTGGAGACCTCTATTGAAGAGGATGGGAGCAGGCAGTGCTCCCAAATTGTGGCTCAGGGTGCAGGGAGCAGGCTGGGTGCAGCAACTTGACCTACATCTGCATTCAGTGCAGCATCCCTTGTGCAGAGCTTGGGTGTGAGACCTCCAGGCAGCAAGAAGCAGGAGGAGAGGGGGCTCATGGCAGCGTTGGGGGGTGCTGGGGGGGTTTTTGCTGTGAGCATTTCATAGTGGACAGGTTGTGGTTGGAACTGATCATCTTAAAGGTCTTTTCCAACCAAATGGTTCAATGATTCATTGCTTTTCTCTTGGGCATGGTGAGACGTGGGGTGGGAAAGCATAAGGGTGAAACTCAACAGCAGAGAGGGACTTGGCCTTGCAGGCCAGCTTGAGTTGTTAGCTGTGTTAATGAAGCAGTGGAGGTAGTGCTGTCTCCTCTCACCCGCAGATCAGGTGGAGCTGCATCGCTGCCAAAGAGCCAGCAACACGCAGTGCATCTGCAGGAACGGCACCTTCTGCTCCCCAGACCACCCCTGCGAGATGTGCCAGAAGTGCCGGCCCCGGTGAGTGCTGGGCGATGCTGGGGGGGTCCCACTGGGATCTGTGCTGGGACCCCCAGCCACTGAGCCTGCCCCTTCTCCCCTTGTCCAGGTGCCCCAAGGGTGAAGTGGAGCTGGCTCCCTGCACCCCACACAGCAACCGCCGGTGCGGGCCCCCCACTGACACCTCCTCAGGCTCCTTCAGTAAGTGGGGGGCTGCTGGATGATGGGGAACACAAGCTGAGGGGTGGAGGTACAAGGTGGTGCTAAGGAGACCAAAAGCAGCTCCCCACGTGCTCTTCTATATGCTTTAGACAACTGGATCGTGCCTGTTGTGGTGGTATCTGTGGTCCTGGTTGTGCTCTTCTTCTGCCTCTGGATGTTCCTCTGCCGCCCTTCCCCAGGTGAGCACCGGGTGTGGGGGGTCCCCCGGTGTCGTCACCCAGGCTGGGGGCTCTGGGTGGGTGGGAAGAGGGATCTGCCTGGGGGAAATGGGATCACAGCGCCGTTTTTGTCTTCCAGGCGATGGGAGAGACCTGAGTGGGAAGTCCTGCAGCGTGGTGGTGAGTTACTGGGATGGTGGTGGGCAGGGGGGGCATCCTTTGCTCCCCACTCAGCTCCTGGGAGGGCTGGGGGGGTCCTTTGCTCCCCACTTGGCTCCTGGGAGGGCTGGAGGAGCAGGGGGATGAGTCTGATCCCTGCAGGGATGTGGTAGAGCAGAGGAAGGGCTGTGGTAGAGCCCTGCTGTACCACAGCCCCCTCACCAGCACCGTTAACCCTTCCCTCGCAGAGGTGCTGGCACATCCAAGGTCCCCAGTGGGGTTAAAGGGAAGGGTTGTGCCGTACTGGGGCCCCTCCAAGCTGAAGAGGAGCTGGAGGTGGCATCCCCAAGGGGCCATGGTGAGCCCCGGGACCACCCGACTCGGCCGGTTTGTGCTTCTCTCCTGCCGCAGGGTTACCTGGTGCGGCAGCTGACGCGGTTCCGGCGGGGGGGCGCGGGGACGCAGGACAACCTCCGCAACGAGCGGTTCTCCCGGGACCAGCGTCTCCTCGGGGCGTCGGGTTCGGTGACTCCCAGCGCTCCGGGGCCGGAGGTACATCAGCTTGTCCCTCTGCTCTGTCAGCCTCAGCTGAGGTCTGGTGCTTTCCTCTGCCTTCACCAAGCTGATCGGCTTGGGGAGGCTTCCAGGGCTGGACCACGGAGACGGCGAGGGATCTCTTGTGCTTCTTTTTGGGTTCAGGACTGCAAAATCTGCTCCTTGCAGTCAGGTGCCAGTGTCCTCTGCAGATTCAATGCTGATGCTGGGCAAACAGACAGCTCTGCCCTGCTTGTGGCTCGCTGTCATCCCAAAGCTAGGGAATAATGGGTGTCCTGGGGTGTCTTCTGCTCCAACAGCCCCCAGAGAGAAGGAGATGTCTCCCCCCGCCCCATTAATGGGGTTTGGGGACAGTGTTTATGCCCGGTGGGTGCTGTAGGATGTTGTCTTTCCAGGTGACGGTGCCAAGGACCTCGTATCCCAGTGCGAAACCCAGAAGGAATCTGGTTCCAGCGCAAGGAGAAGACCCCGTTAAAGGTAAGCGTTGGAGCCCAGGGGATGTGCTGGGGGTCAAGGAAGGGATGAGCCTTCAGGATGAGCTTCCTGGGGAAAAATCCTTTGCCTCAACTGCCCTTGCCCTACCCTTTCCTCTGAGCTTTTCCCTTCCACCTCTCCAGTTTTACGCCGCTCCTTCGAGCTCTTTGCCCAGGACGTGCCCTACAAGGACTGGAAGCGATACGGCCGAGCCCTCGATCTGGGGGAGAACGACATCGCCCTGGCGGAGACGAACGACAGGCACTCGCACGAGCCCTTCTTCCAGATGCTGCACATGTGGCAGAACAGGGAAGGGATGAACGCCTCAGTGAACACGCTGCTGGAGACGCTGCACCAGATCAACCTCAGGGGCATCGCAGAGGACATCTCCTCCAAGCTGGTCCAGCAGGGATCCTTCCAATACGAAACGAGCTGAGGAGCAGGGCAGGCCCTGCATCCCCCAGCTTCAAACTGAAACAAAGGATACCTCTAAAAACACACGGGATTTTATTTTTTTTTGGTGTAGCTCTTCTGTAGCACTTTTTTTGGAAGCTGTTGTACAGCTCGGCTGAGCCAGGAGGAGTTGATCTCTTCATCAAGCACAAACCTCACGGTCCTCTCTGCTGGAGCTATGGGCTCGACGTTGGTGCTTCCTTACGAAATCCAAGCTGGTTCCTTGATTTCACTGGGTCGACACAAAGAGCCTGACAACTGTTGCAAGCTGCTTCTGGGACTGTCTCCCTAGGAAGCACTGGTACTCTGTGGACGTCTTTAGGATCAGGGCAGAGAAGGGCCTTTGCAGGATGAAGGCATCCCTGTGGCTTTTAACTGGATTTTTAACTTCTCTGGGGGGGTTCCTGGCATCATGCAATGGCTTCTGCTTGTAGGACATCTCTAAGCTGGCTGGCAAGCTTAATACTGTACGCTTGGTGGGCAAGCTTTAAGTGGGGTTTGGGGTTATTTTCTCAAAGCAATTGGCTCAGTTGCCTTTTATCTGATAGTGGTTCTGCTTGCTGTTGGGAACCAGTTTGAAACTGGACTTGGAGGGGAGAGTGGGAGTGGTTTCTTTACTCTGTGATCACTGGGGTAAGTAAAGGGCCAGGGCAGGGAGTGAGTGGGCTCCTCCTCGGAGTAAGGATGGGGAAAGGCAGCAGCAAACTATGGATGTGTCAGAAACCTCCTCCATCACCATGGTCAAGTCAGTTCCCATTCCCTTGGCCATGGGGTGGCTTTGCTGTCCCTGTGTTTCCAGCCAGCGTGGAAAGGTGAATGCACTGAGGTCCAAATGTGACCATGGGTGCCCAGCACCCGTCCTTCAGCTGCATGGGTCGCTCCCCAAACACTTTCCCCCTTGCTCAGGCCCTCAAACAAAGCTCAGGGACAACTTTGCTGGAAAAAACTACTGCATTACTTGAGCTGGCTCCATGTGCTGCCACCCTGGTGCAGCCCGGCCTCCCCCAGGACCCGTCCCCAGTGTGGTGGGGCAGGGTTGGGGGGCATCGCCCACCCCTCTCTGCAGCCAGGGCTGCCCCATGCCCATCCCACCCACTGCCACCCCTTCAACACTTAACTAAAAAATCTTCTCCGGAAACTAAGCAGAATGTTTATTTGTTTATTTAGTAATTGCAAAGATGTACAGATAGTAACTTAAAAGCTAGTATAAAAATATTGTTGTTTTTTTTTTTACTGTGCATGATTGTGTTTTTATACAGAGCTCTGGCCCAGCCAGTTCGCTATTCCCAGTTTTTACATGACTTATTTATGAAGAATAAAGTTTTAAAAAAAAGCCTCCTGACTTCTCATCTCTTTTATTTCCCCAGCTTTGCTCTGCCGTAACGCTGGCAATGCTCTGTCCTAGGGCACCACAGGAGCTGGACCCAGATGCTCAGCAGCCGCTGCACGTGGCGCTGGGGACCCAGCCCGTGGCATGCTGCTGGGAATGGTCCCCACCAGCGATGCTTCTGCCAGGGAAAGTCCTCAGCAGCCGCCCTGGGCTCTGCTTTTATGCTTACACCGTGAGTCCCGTGCTTTTTTTAGTTGCCTGCAAACGTAGGAGGCTGAAATCTCTTGGGGTCTGGGACCCCCGTGACAAAACCGCTGTCGTCGGAGGGGTCCGTGATGCTCCTCGCTCCAGCTGCACCGAGCCAGGGCTCTGCGTGTCGCGATAGCTGCGTTGCAAATCCATGCAGTGCTTAGTGAGGAAGGGGCTCTGCTCGCCCCAAAAAGCCCCCCGAGCTGCCCTGCCAGCCTGCACAGTGATCAGATTCATCCATAACGCAGGAGCAAGTGGGAAAAGCAGGAGCTTTCGGTGATGTGCCTGTCCCAGCTGCCTCCCAAGCATCCAAACTCGGGCAGGGACGTGCAGGATTTAGTACCAGGACATGAGACTCGGGTCCCAGCCTGGGGAAGGCAAACGGGACTCGGAAGCAGCGGCGAGTGCACGGATTCGAAAGGGGAAGAAACTCCTCGTCCTACCTGCTGGCTGGTGCTGCAAAGGGTGGAAACACCGAGCGTCAGCTCCCCAGAGCTGCAACGTCCTCCTGCGTCGGTGACTGAGGACAAGCGTGGAAATGAGGGACTCCAAGGTGCTCCACGAGCCGGGATAGAGGAGCAATGTGGAGCAGGAGGGGACACCACAGAGAGCATCCCTGCCCGGAGCATCCCCATGTGCTCGCTCCAGCAGCCAGGGATGGACTCAGAGGAGCTTTCCCCTTCCCGGCTGGAGAAGGTGAGTGGAAATTTGGGTCCTGGCCCTTCCATGCTGCCTTCTCCTGCCGCACACCCGCAGCATCGTGCACCTACAGGGACACGGGTGGGCCATGCAAAGTCAGTCCGATGATAAAGCCACCTCTGCGTATAAGGGTATTTTTTTTTGGGATGGTTGGATCCTGCAACGCTTCTTTGCTGTCCCTGTCCATCGCGGGGGGCGCAGGGGCACAGGGCTGGCCCCGTGTCCAGGCGCTTCCTCCCAAACACACAGGGACCACGCCGGGCTTTTAAAATACCATTTATTACAATGGAGCCTTCGAGGCTAAAAACCCAAGCCGGGGGCCTGGGGTTGGTTTCTGGTGTGGCAAGTTGAGGGTGGGGCGTGGGTTTGGGGTCGGTTTAGGTGGTGTTTTTTTGCTTTAAGTTTTTTTTTTAAAAAGAAAAAGATGAAAACTTTTTGAGGCAGGGAGGAGAGGGTTCCTGTCCCCTCCTGCTCCCCAAAATCAGGAGACCCCACTTGTGGTGTTGCAGTGCCTGAAGGTATTTGAGGACCGGGGTCCTCTGCACCCTGCCTGACCCTGCTGCAAGCCCAAGGGGGTGGCAGGACCCCCACAGCGGCTCTGGCTGCTTGGGGGGGTGAGATGCTGACGGACAAATAGATCATATCCCGCAGCTTCTGGTTATGGTTTAAAAGTGGAAGCGGGACGGGTTTCTTCTTCTTCCTCATGCTGATGTTCAGAAATAATAACAAAAACCCCAAAAGAAAAGCACAACACAGCCCTCGTGCTCCTGTAAACGTGAGTTTCTCCTGCAGCGTGGCCCCTGCTGCGGTGAGGGCAAAGCAGGGCTCCAGGAGCACTAGGGGCTGATGCTCGGCCCCCAGCCCCTCTGCAGGGGAACGGGCC